TTTTTTTTTTTTTTTTTTATTGAATTTTGTTTGTCTAATTTGAACAGTTTGGTTACAAAATGAGAAATGTATTAAAGTTTTTCTTTTGCTCACAAGCTACGCACAGGTGATTGGCAAAAATAACATGATATTATGCACTTATGTTTAAGTACCATTTAATAATAAATTGATTGTGCTTTMATATTCCCCCTCCCAAATCGGTATTTGTATTATATGTATATACATATACACTATGTATATTATGCATACCTATACATTTTTTTACATAATCCCTCCCACGGAAACCCATAATGCTATAATCCATACCATGAAATGGAAATCCTCATTTTATAATTTGTATAATATATTTTCAATTAATTATATCCATTAGCGCACAGAGGTATTTAAAGAGCACATGCAGTTAAAAAAAGTTAGCCACCCACCCACCCAATTTTTTTATTTATAAAAAATAGTTTCACTTATTATTCACTGTAATTCAAAGAAATCAATTAGTATAGACTATAGTTTATGTTATGAATTTTTTAATTTCCCTGTGAAACCTGCAATAGTACACACCCACCCTACTTGAGAACACATGCAGTTGCATTCCTTGTTAACATGTCTGGGTTCCACTGATTATGTCATATAGATAAATTATTGACGATTAAGTCTAGTGCCTAAAGTAGTTATAGTACCTATAGTTTGAATAGTTAGAATATAAATGTATAATTCGAATTGCGCAATCATTATCAGAACGAACATATTAAGCTTTACAAACTCGAAACTAAATATGATTCAATAAAACCGTGAAAGGGTTGTAGAGAACAGCGAGTGTGAAACCTAGGTCAATAGGATATCTATTTTTTTTTAAATAATTGCATTTAATACCTACCTACTGAAAACTGATAGAGAACTTATATTTTGAGTGAACAATTTCTCATATTTTTTGAGCATTGAGTTTTTTTAGTTGTAACTGACAACTGTTGTTTGTAAATCGGAATGTGTAAAAAAACGTTGTACAGAATTTAAAGCTTCTGTACTCTCCTAATAGTTGTTCTCATAACGCTATTTCAGTAATTTTTTATCATCATAAAATATTTATAATATAAAAGATGTTAATGATAATAATAATAATAATTAATAAATACCTATACATTAAATAGTTTAAGAATTTAATTTAATCTCAGTYCTCAGATCATTTTTTCATCATACAYTGCATATTTCAATAATAATGGAATATCTATATAAAATTATCTAATTAATAGACAATGCTTAAAAGTTTTTATTTTAATTCAATTTCGGATATTTCTAGTGTGAACGCAGTCTTATCGAAAAAATTATGCCCGAGTGCGTCCTCGGCCCACAGATGTTGCATATAGTGTAGATTAGGTACCTTAAAGTTACCTACCAGGCCAGTGTCGGTCTGGTACCTAAAGGGCCCCGGATGCATTTCTTCAAAAAAGACCTAAAAAATTACGTCTTATAAAATGGTAAAAAAATGAAGTGATWGTAATTATTGCAAAATACTAAATCGTTAAAAGTAGGTGCCATCTAGCTTATTTTATACACAAACAATTAAGTTAAGAAGACGTCGCAACCACTTGTGTTATGAGTGTGTAAAATAAAAATATTCTCAAAATGCCCATAACTCACTTMAAAACTTATCGTAAAAAACAAATTGAGAAAACACACATAATGTTTTTACAAAAAAAATTCATAATATGTATTATGTAGGTAAGTTTACTCTAATAGCAATACTAACAGAAATTTGGTATGTGACACGTGTCGAACGTATATAAGACGGAGACAACAATCGCGGATTTGCGGATCTTAACGGTGAATCATCATTTATTCAAATGTATAATAATAAACTACCTACGAAACAATAAAACTACAAAAGAAAAAAACATGATTACACAGAAATATGAAAATAAAATAATATTTCTATTACTTGTCTATAGGTACCGAATTTTATTGTTGAAGACGAATGTTGAAATGTGTGAGTAGGTATAATATTATTTTAGTCGACTGTTAAAAGCAAATATYAAATTATGTTTATCAATTATTATACATATTAATATAGTATATACATAAAATACATCACTAATAATCTTGTATGCAATGCTTGCACAATCGTTGTATTTGATAGCGGGCCCCATGCAGCTTAGGGAAAGTGATGAGGCCCTCGCCAAAGTTCCTGTGTTTTTAAAAAAGGAGATTAAACCTATAACCTAACTTGCATTAGTGTAATTAATCCTAAAAATTTCCTCCTACTTGTACCAATGTTAAAATGTCTTGTTTGCACTWATATAATATAAGCGAACACTGAAACACCTAATAAGTGATCTACATTTTTAGGTCTTACAATTTTCCTTTGACTCTCAAATCCCAAACAATCTCATTCCTAGGCTTTCGTAAAGAAAAAAAAATTGTGCCCTAAAATTATGTCCAATCAAATTTATTTGATAAATAATTGACGTAAATCCCTCTAAAATGTCCTAACTAGTAATCAAGAACAAACCGACCAACTAAAATATTACAATTTATTTTTTATTCATAACAAAAAAATCGTATTTTCCATTAATTTTTTCGGTTTTCCCGATTAATTTGAAAGTGATTACTAGTTACTAGGAATTTTCAATTTTATAAAGTACTAACTAGATTCAATTTTTTATCAGAAACCAGTTCTCGAACATTCAAACCACCTTTAATGTTGAAGATTCATGATTTTTTCAACTAAAAAAAGTGTACAGATCATTAAAATGTCATGTTTAAACTGAATGAATAGATGACAAAAGAACAAAACCGATATACTCCTATCATGTACTGTTTAATTTTCTGGTGAAAGAAGTAGAGGTAGGTATTTAAAGTTTAAGTTAGGTATAGTTTTATTTAAATATATGAAACATCCACGGCTACTGGAATCTTAATGATTTTTGCAGTTTCGACTATGATAATGATTTTATATAAAAACGAAAATTCTAATTTCGGCTTCTTTTTGTTAAGAATAAAAACAATTCTGGTTTAACTATAATTTTTTTGCTTCTTAATAAATGCAAATTTTTTTTTTTTTGGKGGGGGGGTTTACCTAATATGAGGAAATACAGTTCCATTTAAATTTCTTATAAAATTATAGTAAAATACTAGTAGTGTATATTGGCATCGACTATGGAGGGTCAATACACATATTTTCAATAAAATATCCAGTAATTTGTAAAAAGAACTTCAATTTATACGTAATAGACCTTTACTGGTGAGGTTTGATTAACAATGCCAGTAGGTTCAGGTTCTCAATATTCAATGAATTCCGGTTTCATAACCGGTTCTTTTCATTTCAGTTCCTTGATCGCCGTTATAGCCAATTCGCTGTACAGCATGTAGATGAATTGTAATCATGTACATAAAACAATATGTATATTTAACACTGCAAACTTGCTCCGTTATACCAATTACCAACTKGATAATTGGATGATATTCTATAGTATTAACTATTAAATAAATGTTTTGTATATATAACTAAAATGTAAGCAGTCACCTGTACATAATTTAAGCTGTCGATAGCAAACAAGAACAGAGAACAATATAATGTAGTTTATCCAAAGATTTACAGTCATCAATATTAGATTTGTGTACAAAACTAATAGTTGTGTTATTACTGAGGCAACTAAATTTCATAGTTTTCGTTACCATATTTTGGCTCCAATAACTAAACTTTTTTTCAGTGTTGACTGCAGGTGATGAATGAGTAATTGTAATAGTAATATTTAATTTGAATTCGAACACGAATTAACGATAACATTATTAAGTATAGGTTATAATAT